CGTCCCGCATCTCTGGGTGGTGCTGCCACTGTGTGGAGAAGAGATGCTGGGACGACCTGAGAGGCAGAATAAGTGATGCCCTTTGCTCTTGGTACGTACTGGTTCTTCAAGCCGTTGAAGGATTTGTAAAGGGTCTCGTCATTCCATTCGTAAGTTGTAATTTTATTGTTGGACATGCCAGCAAAGGCATATAGCAGGTGAGTGCACAGGCACGGGTCGATGTTGTCAGGCATGAATTTTCCCAGGCCAGGCCTATACTGGGCCCAGTTGGTGAAGTAACATGACAGCACATAGGCAGTGCCTGCAGAGGAAGAGAGGAGATGTGGTTGGGTTGGACTGCACTTAAGAGATACTAGGAACTTCCCGTAGAGTATCCTAACTAGATCTGCTCAGAAATGACTGGGCAGTGTTTCCCTGCAGGGTGAAGAGTGCAGAGAAAGTGAAACAGCGTTAGTTATCCCTCTGGGAACTGGCTCTCCAAGGACATTAATGGATTTCTTTCCTTCCTACTTTGTTTCAGTAGATGAGTCGATCTAGGAGCCTCCTACACTCATGAACTGCCTGCAGAGGAAGAGAGGAAGTGGGGTAGAGTTGGACTGCACTTAAGAGATACTAGGAACTTCCTGTAGAGTATCCTAACTAGATCTGCTCAGAAATGACTGGGCAGTGTTTCCCTGCAGGGTGAAGAGTGCAGAGAAAGTGAAACAGCGTTAGTTATCCCTCTGGGAACTGGCTCTCCAAGGACATTAATGGATTTCTTTCCTTCCTACTTTGTTTCAGTAGATGAGTCGCTCTAGGAGCCTCCTACACTCATGAATCAGGGCGGTTCTGAGTGCCGGCTCTCTTCCCCAAATGGAATCTTTCTCCTTTGCTGTCACGTAAGGAAGAGCAGAAGCAGAAGGGATCTCTGGTGAGGTGCCTGAAGGTGGAAGGCTCTTGGTGTGTTTGCGGTGCTGCCTGTTTGACCTGCCTTTGAAAGCGTCTGCAAAGACCAAGCCAGTGGCGGCGCTCATGCTTCGTTCAAGCCGAGCAGGAAGGGGCTGCTGAGGGGAAGCTTGCGTGAAAGAAAGCACCATATTTGCACTTTAGATTGAGCATTGTGCGTGCTTGGTCAAGCTTTTGTCTTCAGAGACGCCGGCACTGTGTGCCTGCCTGCCTCTCCTTCCTCCCCCGTGGCTGGTAAAAGAATTATCTAGGAAGTCTGCTGCAGTTGCCTGCACGTGCCACAGCTGAGAAGGGTTTGGTAGAGTTGTTTTTGGGGTAGAAGGCACGTACCTATCTGGGCGTTCAGCAGTTGTTTTTGGGGTAGAAGGCACGTACCTATCTGAGCGTTCAGCAGGAGGACCAGACCTTTAAAGGAAAAAGCGTGGGATTAGTGTTAGAACTGAGAAACAAGGTAATGCCTGAAGTAGCAGAAACTCTCTGGTATATATCCTCTAATGCAGACAATAAAATTGCTTCTGTCAATGGGCCTATTTTTGCTGCTCTTTGTGAGGATCTGTTGGACCCCAACATAACCTGTCTCCCAGGTCACAATTCATTGTGAGCGACGGGGACGCACAGAGGAGCCCGTGGTCCTAACGGCTCGATGTTCTGCTGCTTCTTTCAGCCAGGGATAGGCAAGAGGTGATGTTGATGCCTATAAGCATGGCTGAAATAGCAGAATCCTTTTGGAATGTACTCTGCTATGGAGACAGTAGTAGCCTTTCCCTCAGAATGACCAGTTTCCCTCCTCAGAGTGTCATTTTCTTGGTCCATGATAATTTTTCAATTTCATAAAGCAAATACATGAGGAATTTGCATATCCAGAGAAAAAGAAATCCCCTGAAAAAGTAGTGCAGCATATGATCATCCCAAAAGGAACTGCTATGGATTTTCCTCTGACGGAAGAGAGTGTGCTGCATTTTTAACTCCCCCGAAATCTCCTGCATAGCCACCCCATATAACAGTGAAAGATCCCCAAATACTTGTCTTAAAGGCAGAGAACTAAGGGTTGAAGCGGGACTTACCGGTAAGCAAAGTGAGCTTGGCCATCTTGGACCAGAACTGGTCTGGTGCAGATCGTCTCCCACTTTTATACGCTCCTCTCATTTCCTGCCAGTCTTGTATCAACAAAGATGGCCAAACATTGCAAAACTTGGTAAAGATCAGTATCACACAAAAATGATACCAGTACAATGGGTGTTAACACTCCAGCTGGAGACACCGCTATTATTAGTCTGTGCCACATTGTGGTGCTGCACGAATAGTGGCAGAACAAGATTAGATGGCTTTTTTTTTCTTAAAAATTTACTTACAGCCACAGGTTTGTGTCAACACTGGCGATTACGCAGTGAGGGGTGGCTGAAGTGTTCCCCTTGCGCTGTCATTGTGTCTGCCCGGAGGTGGCAGGCACTGCCAGGCCAAAGGTGGTTTTCAAGGGTTTTGTCTCCTTGGCCGGGGCAGGCAGCGAGGCCGGGCTGAGGAGGGCTTAGGCTCACAGCAACGGGCTTTTTGGGGGTCACAGGAACTGGGCCCGCTTGCTGTCGGCAAACTGTGTGTGGTGATGCAGGGGGCTTTGTGATCCGAGCTGTCTCTTGCCCAAACCATCTGAGGTGGTGTCACTTCAGGGAAGCGGTGAGGCTTTCCTGGTTTGCCATAAGCAAAGCAAATCAGAGTCAGCTTCGACTGAGCTGTTCTCCCACTTGTTCTTGGTGACTATTTTTGTCAGGAGATAAGGAAAAGAAGGTGAGAAGCATGCCTTAAGAAGGGCCTTAAACAATTAGTGTACTGCTGTCCCAGAGAGCGGATGCTTAGCAGCCTAATGAAGAAACGTGACAGTGTCTTGCCAAGATAATAATCTTAAGGCAGAAGCATTATTTTTTGGAGGTCACAATCTATGGGAGAGAGCCCAGGGATAGAACATCATGCAGGTACCGTTTCCTCTTGCACTTATTCCCTCCTTTTTTTGATCAGCGGTTTCCCAAAATGAGAGACGTCTGTATTGTCAAAGAATTATGTCTTGCTTCAGCTTTCTGTGAAGCTCCATACAGTGAAATTGCCTGAATGTCTTTTATTCTGAATGAGCTTTTGAGCTGTCCTTGTTGTGAAAGGCTTTTTTTTTTTCAAAAAACAGTGTATGAGATTTAGCTTAAATGTCTCACTTTGATGCTTTCAGGATGCAATGTCATTTTTCTGAGTAAATCTGTATGGGATTTTTTTAAAGGCAGTTACAGATGCTGAAAACGACATTTTTAACACAAAAGTTTCTATCTGCACACTAGGCACTGTCCAGGCTAATGAAAATGTTGCGGCAAGATACAGTGGGTCAATAGCCAGTTCCTTTACATTGAGGTGTTGCTTAATTCCTGTTAAGATGATGTGAAGGTGAATTTCCAGTCAGCCGCTGAGACTTGGTTGAATGGGAGCCTGGAAAACAGCTTCAAAGTTGCCCATGTCACATCCTGGCACTGAAGTCAGTGACCTGCTGTCTAAGTTCATTAGACTTCTAGATTTTGTGTATGGAGTGCATGAAATATGGTGAATGATGAACAAAGTATGTCAGAGACAGGCATGGCGCTTGCACAGCCTCGTACCCATCCCCTGTGAGATGTGTCTGACACCCGACTCTCAGCAAACTCTCTAAAAACTCCTGTTTTCCCCAAAGACCTTAGCCGTCCTGGCCTTGCTAACCTCGGTGGGCACGAGCCATTGCTGTAGGGAGGTTGTTTTGTTCTCCCTGCCCTTGCTATGGAGATTAGGCTGGTCACTGGGGAAGGCTAAACTGGGGAGAAATGTGAAGGTCAATGCAATGGCGCCACGTGTTTTGGAAAGCCCTATGCTGAGCCTTATCTGGAGGCAGAGGTGCGGGTATCGGTCTCCTGGTACGGGGAGTGGGGCGCGGCCAGCCGATACAGGTATTTGTGCCGACGGCAGTGTCACGACAGCCAAGGTTCGTGTTAGCACCGCAGAGACGTGTAGTAGGTAGATGGGCCCTTGGCTAGGTGTGAGTCTGTGAAAGATCGGGCTGTGGAGTTGCAAGTGAAGGGAGGCTGCTTTCTCTCACATTGGCAGTGCAAAGATGCTGTTGAGCTGGCATGAATGCATTCTGGGTTTGGATGCGAGAAGCCGTGTGAGTTTGCCAGAGAAAGGCCTGGGGAGAGCTCTGCGTGTTTTGGACTGCTGATCTGATGTTGCTCACTGCAGGCAGACAACTTCCTACCGCCACGGAGGCAATCTATTGCCAGTGTGGTTTTCCTCAGTGTGGAGTGGTGTTCTTGGAAATTCCTTGGGAATTTTCCAGTGGGAATTTACCCCAGCTATGTCTGCCTATAGGTCTATATTGAGAGCCTGTGTTGCCAGAACTCATATATGATCAGTCAGGAGGCCGCAGGTTTAGCACAAGGATTTACCTGCTGCTGGGCTGTGTGTATGGAGATCTAGGACTACCCTCCCCTCTGAGACTGGTCCGTGTTTGCCTGTGTACTGCAGCCATGAGCACCCGAATGCCTACTGGTTTTCCAGCTCTCTCTCTGCTTCTCAAACAGAGTCTGTTTCTGAAAAAAATGATCTGTGACCAATGAAGGTGAGGAGAAAATCTGCCAACAGTCTACAAATTCTTTCAAAGCTGTGTGTTGCTCTGCTTCTTTGAAACTCGCTTTTCTTACCTGTGGGTCTGGTAAGAAAGAGCGAGCTGCTCTTGCTGCTATCACAAAGCCTTTCTTGCTCTGTGATTTCTTTTCCAGGGAGTTACTGAGGCTGCTTCCCTGTCATTTAACAGCAGAAGCCTCTTACTGACTTTCTAAGACACCATTTGCATCAGGGGAAGGGCAGGAGTGCCTGAGCAGCAGAAGACATCACCCCCACTCATTTCTCTTCTCTAAGCAGATGCTTTTTATAAATGGACCTTTGTTGGGAGAGGAGGAAGAACAGTTTTGTGATTCTGCCCTCAGGCTGCCGCAATGGGGCATGAGTGTCCCTTGCTGCTCAGGCCATGGAGAGGACATGTGGGGCTCGAGGACCCATCAGCAGTCTGCCTGTGAATTGGTATGTGTCCAGCTGAACCATTCCTGCAGCAGGGAGTAATTGAGTAATATGAAGAGTGGCTGAGCGCACGGGGGTTGTTTATCCTGGAGAAAGGAGGCTAAGGAGAGACCTTATCGCTCTCTACAACTATCTGAAAGGAGGTTGTAGAGAGGTGGGGTTTGACCTCTTCTTGCTCGTAACAAGCGGTAGGACAAGAGGAAATAGCCTCAAGTTACACCAGGGTAGGTTTAGACTGGATATTAGGGGGAAATTCTTCACAGAAGAAGGGTTGTTACGCATTGGAACAGGCTGCCCAGGGAAGCGGTGGAGTCATCATCCCTGGCGGTATTTAAAAGATGGGTAGTTGTGGTGCTTAGGGACATGGTTTGGGGGTGGTTTTGACAGTGTTAAGTTGATGGTTGGACTTGATGATCTTAAAGGTCCCTTCCAAACTAGACAATTCTCTGATTCTCTGATTCTATGAATTGATGCCTCATGGCCAGAGCACCAGGGCTGTCTGAGCTTTGAAGACTCATTTCTTTGGAAGGCAACTTTTCCAGGAGGCGAGTGCTTTTTCTTGGACAAACGCACAGGCCTTACTCCGTGGGGAGCCAGTGTCCTAGCTGTGCCACTGTGACCCTTCTCTGTGTGCTCTTCCATGGCACAGCCTGATCTGCTCTGTCCCTTCCTTCTTCTTTTTTTCCCCTCTCACTGACTGCCCCGCTGGCACAGCAAGAAAGTCTTGGAAATACCAGTTTATGGCTACTTAAAATAAAGAGGTTTCATAGCTTCCCTGTGGATTGTGCTGTGCTGGCTCCCACTCCCAGGAG